TGTGACAGTGGGCAGTACGTACAGGAGCAGGAGTGTAAGGAGGTTGGTGACAGTGAACGGTACTTACAGGAGAAGAGAGTGGGGGAGTGACAGTGGGCCAGTACGTACAGGAGAGGAGTGTGGAGGAGTGTGAGCTAGTGATTCGTTATGTACAGGAGTTGAGTACAGTATGTATAGGAGAGGAGTGTGGGGGGTGTTGGACAGTGACATTGGTATTGTACATCATCACTGACTATTTCAGTCGACTGGGCCCCCTCCTCCACCCTCAGGTTAGGGGGCGTACACCATAACACCCACAATTACTGTTTGTTTCCTCCCTTTGGAGCCACCAAAGACTCCTACCTTGTTTACCGGCCCCATTAGCAATGTCATCTGTCATATTCACCATGCAATTGCATGACATACAGGCACGCCCCTCTCTTCAACCTACCTTGTTCCTCTGACACAGAGTGTACCCTTGCGGTTCTGTCACAAGCCAGGTTTCTGACATTCCTGCCTGTTGCGTTTTAGTTCAGCGGTTCCCTCCATGGACGACTCCAGTGTTTCTGAAGGGTCAGGACAATGTCTGTGTCGGGAGAAGTTGGATCTGTCCTGTAGGATTCAGCCTACTATTTTACCCGCCGAGACATACAAATCACATGGTACACGGAAGATGACGTCATGCTACCATCTAACATCGGTGACCCCCCACATCTCCCAGGCAATGACGGACTCTATCATACCTCCAGCACTTGCACGTTACATCACAACAATGAGGATTTTAGGAAGGATTTTCCGGCATGTCGGGTTCAGCATCTGTCAGCCAGATAGAATCCGAAAGCACGTGCCTGTGACCCTGAGATGCGATTCTGTGAGTGAGACCAATGTGCATGTGAATGTCATGATGGAGGAGGAAACCGAAGTCACACCTTGAACAGAGGGGTCAACCTGTGCTCAGCCTCCAAAGTGTCCTCCAAACACTGGATACAACAAGCAGGAAGAGCCGTGGCAACATCCTCATAGAAGCTTTATTAGTGATACAGGAGTGACATAAAAGTATCTGACGCGTTTCGTCAAGTTGATCCTAAATCACATATCTGACGCATTTCGGGCAAGTAGTCATGCTTCACAGCATCTGCGTGTTTTGTCAAGTAGGGTTGATCACAGCATGTTTTTATGTCACTCCTGAATCACCAAGAAAGCTTTCATGAGGATGATGGAGTTTGAGCCGGCTCTTCCTGCTTTTGGGGACAAATCTCTCAGTATAATGTAGCGTCACCTCTGAGACAATCTGCCACAAAATTTGCAGATCAGCGGTGTAATGGGCCTACATATACAGACCAGCGGTGATTACGGGCCTACATATACAGACCAGCGGTGTATGATCCTACATATACAGACCAGCGGTGTACGGGCCAGCGAGGGTACATATACAGACCAAGCGTTGTAAGATTCCTACATATACAGACCAGCGGTGTATGAAATACCTACATAACATGACCAGCGGTGTATGCCTGACATAGACAGACCAGCGGTGTATGATCCTACATATACACCATCGGTGTACCTTCAGACGGTGTATGGGCCTACATATACAGACCAGCGGTTGTAAGTATGGGACCTACATATACAGACCAGCGGTGTATGGGCCTACATATTATGGGCAGACCAGCGGTGTATGGGCCTACATATACAGACCAGCGGTGTATGGGCCTACATATACAGACCAGCGGTGTATGATCCTACATATACAGACCAGCGATGTATGTGCCTGACATATACAGACCAGCGTGTATGGGCCTACATATACAGACGCAGCGGGGTATTGACCCTACATATACAGACCGAGCGGTGTATGGGCCTACTACATCATACAGACTACATGATACGACCACGGTGTATTGGGCCTACATATACAGACCCAGTAGCGTGTAATACAGACCAGCGGTGTAATGGGCCTACAGACCCCCACGGAGTATGGGGCCTACATATACAGACCAAGCGGTATGTACATATACAGACCAACGAGTAGTGGGCCTACATATACAGACCAGCGGTGTACGGGATCCTACATATACAGACCAGTCGTTGGTACGAGTGCCAACTTAAACAGACCCAGCGGTACGATTCCTAACTATATACAGACCAGCGTTGTAACGATCCTCATGATACCACGGTGTACATCCTACATATACAGACCAGCGGTGTACGTGGCCTACATATACAGTACCTAGTGGCTGTAATGACCTACATATACAGACCACGGTGTATTGGCCTACATATACAGACCAGCGTGTGTATGATCCTACATATACAGACCAGCGTGGTATGGGAGTCCTACATATACAGACCAGCGGTGTATGGGCCTACATATACAGACCAGCGGTGTATGGGCCTACATATACAGACCAGCGGTTGTATGATCCTACATATACAGACCAGCGGTGTATGTTTTAAAAAATGATGCCTACATATACAGACCAGCGGTGTAGACGGGCCTACATATACAGACCAGCGGTGTACGGGCCTACATATACAGACCAGCGGTGTACGGGCCTACATATACAGACCAGCGGTGTACGGGCCTATGTGTACGGGCCTACATATACAGACCAGCGGTGTACGATCCTACATATACAGACCAGCGGTGTACGATCCTACATATACAGACCAGCGGTGTACGATCCTACATATACAGACCAGCGGTGTACGATCCTACATATACAGACCAGCGGTGTACGATCCTACATATACAGACCAGCGGTGTATGATCCTACATATACAGACCAGCGTGTGTATGGGCCTACATATACAGACCAGCGGTGTAAATGGGGCCTACATATACAGACCAGCGGTGTATGATCCTACATATACAGACCAGCGGTGTATGATCCTACATATACAGTTACCAGCGGTGTATGGGCCTACATATACAGACCAGCGGTGTATTGATCCTACATACACAGACCAGCGGTGTATGATTACCTACATATACAGACCAGCGGTGTATGGGCCTACATATACAGACCAGCGGTGTATGGCCTACATATACAGACCAGCGGTGTATGATCCTACATATACAGACCAGCGGTGTATGGGCCTACATATACAGACCAGCGGTGTACGGGCCTACATATACAGACCAGCGGTGTACGGGCCTACATATACAGACCAGCGGTGTACGGGCCTACATATAACAGACCAGCGGTGTACGGGCCTACATATACAGACCAGCGGTGTACGATCCTACATATACAGACCCAGCGGTGTAACGATCCTACATATACAGACCAGCGGTGTACGATCCTACATATACAGACCAGCGGTGTACGGGCCTACATATACAGACCAGCGGTGTACGGGGCCTACATATACAGACCAGCGGTGTACGGGCCTACATATATACAGACCAGCGGTGTACGGGCCTACATATACAGGACCAGCGGTGTACGGGCCTACATATACAGACCAGCGGTGTACGATCCTACATATACAGACCAGCGGTGTGTAACGATCCTACATATACAGACCAAAAGCGGTGTACGATCCTACATATACAGACCAGCGGTGTACGATCCTACATATACAGACCAGCGGTGTATGGGCCTACATATACAGACCAGCGGTGTATGATCCTACATATACAGACCAGCGGTGTATGGGCCTACATATACAGACCAGCGGTGTATGAGCCTACATATACAGACCAGCGGTGTATGATCCTACATATACAGACCAGCGGTGTATGGGCCTACATATACAGACCAGCGGATAATTTGTATGGGCCTACATATACAGACCAGCGGTGTATGATCCTACATATACAGACCAGCGGTGTATGGGCCTACATATACAGACCAGCGGTGTATGGGCCTACATATACAGACCAGCGGTGTATGGGCCAACATATACAGACCAGCGGTGTATGATCCTACATATACAGACCAGCGGTGTATGATCCTACATATACAGACCAGCGGTGTATGGGCCTACATATACAGACCAGCGGTGTATGGGCCTACATATAACAGACCAGCGGTGTATGGGCCTACATATACAGACCAGCGGTGTATGATCCTACATATACAGACCAGCGGTGTACGGGCACTACATATACAGACCAGCGGTGTACGGGCCTACATATACAGACCAGCGGTGTACGGGCCTCCTACATATACAGACCAGCGGTGTATAATCCTACATATACAGACCAGCGGTGTATGGGTTCTACATATACAGACCACGCGGTGTATAGATCCTACATATACAGACCAGCGGTGTAAGATCCTACATATACAGACCAGCGGTGTATGATCCTAATATTTCATATACAGACCAGCGGTGTATGATCCCTACATATACAGACCAGCGGTGTGTGATCCTACATATACAGACCAGCGGTGTATGGGCCTACATATACAGACCAGCGGTGTATGGGCCTACATATACAGACCAGCGGTGTATGATCCTACATATACAGACCAGCGGTGTTATGATCCTACATATACAGACCAGCGGTGTATGGGCCTACATATTACAGACCAGCGGTGTATGGGCCTACATATACAGACCAGCGGTGTATGATCCTACATATACAGACCAGCGGTGTATGGGCCTACATATACAGACCAGCGGTGTATGATCCTACATATACAGACCAGCGGTGTGGCGGTGTGAATGATCCTACATATACAGACCAGCGGTGTATGGGCCTACATATAACAGACCAGCGGTGTATGGGCCTACATATACAGACCAGCGGTGTATGATCCTACATATACAGACCAGCGGTGTATGATCCTAACATATATACAGACCAGCGGTGTATGATCCTACATATACAGACCAGCGGTGTATGATCCTACATATACAGACCAGCGGTGTATGATCCTACATATACAGACCAGCGGTGTATGATCCTACATATACAGACCAGCGGTGTATGATCCTACATATACAGACCAGCGGTGTATGATCCTACATATACAGACCAGCGTGTATGATCCTACATATACAGACCAGCGGTGTATGGGCCTACATATACAGACCAGCGGTGTATGGGCCTACATATTACAGACCAGCGGTGTAAGGTGTATGATCCTACATATACAGACCAGCGGTGTATGATCCTACATATACAGACCAGCGGTGTATGATCCTACATATACAGACCAGCGGTGTACGGGCCTACATATACAGACCAGCGGTGTACGGGCCTACATATACAGACCAGCGGTGTATGGGCCTACATATACAGACCAGCGGTGTATGGGCCTACATATACAGTACCAGCGGTGTATGGGCCTACATATACAGACCAGCGGTGTATGGGCCTACATATACAGACCAGCGGTGTATGATCCTACATATACAGACCAGCGGTGTATGATCCTACATATACAGACCAGCGGTGTAATGATCCTACATATACAGACCAGCGGTGTATGGGCCTACATATACAGACCAGCGGTGTATGATCCTACATATACAGACCAGCGGTGTATGGGCCTACATATACAGACCAGCGGTGTATGATCCTACATATACAGACCAGCGGTGTATGGGGGCCTACATATACAGACCAGCGGTGTATGGGCCTACATATACAGACCAGCGGTGTATGGGCCTACATACAGGTGAAACTGGAACAATGAGAATCTGGTGCATTTGTTGATTGATTTCAGTGCAGCAACTTAAAAGGTGACACTAACATATGAGACCTCATTCCATGCAAAGCAAGATAGTTCCAGCCGTGATTTGTCATCATTGTGATGATTATGGCTTCCCAGCTCATGAAAACCCCAAATCCACAATCTCAGAAAATGAGAATATTCCATGCAATCAATAAAACACGGATTGTACATTTTAGAA